ACTCATGGTCGTTGGTTACAGCTTTCCCTTTTTCAGCATACGTAAGACGCATGTCCATCTTGTTTCAGTGTAGGTTTTGGCGAGATCTCTGGTGGATTGGGGTTCTTCTTGCGTTAGTAGATGCACAGGTGTTGTCTTGTTGAGGTGCCCTGAATCAGCTTGTCTGAGATATTGTGTCCAAAGCAGTGTGAGGCAGAGCTTTGTGAGGGGGGGGGTTTGGAGCAGAGTAGCTCGACGGTGGTGCCATGGGAAGAGCTTCGGCGAGGTTCCGGTCGACCGTAGTCACCGTTGGCCTGCCGCGTGGCTTCTCCGGTAGGTCTTTGTCCTGAGGTTTTTGGAAAAACTCTGTATCCGATGGGTTTTAGCTATTTTAGGAAGACTGGTAGATAGAAAGTGTTTTTTGAAAAAAGTGTTAAAACCGGTAAAGTTTTACTGGTTCAAGTTGACTAACCCCAAACAACACAGCGGGTAAGGACTGTTATCGAGAGGTGTGTCTAGAAGGAAAATAGAAAAATAATTATGTCAAATGTTTTATTTAAATGATTATTTTGTCAAATACATTGAATCCAAATTATACAATTATAAAAGAAATTAAAACATCAAAAAAGCAAAAATTAAATTATAACTTCATCCATACTTAATAAAACATCTCTTTATTTATAACACACAAACTGTTACTAAAACATCTCTTTTTGTTATTTCAAAATCTGCAAACCTAAAGTCTCAACCTTTCTCTCGACCTCTGAGAAACTTCACAAACAAACCAATCAAATGGAGAGCGAGATCAGTCAAGGAAGCATTACTTCCAAAGTTGGTGGCTCCGTTTTCTACTGTATCTGAATTTCAATATTCTTTTATCAATTTCCTGCAGGATTTGGAAACTCACTTGTCTTTGCAATCGCCTTCTTCCTCCTCTCATCGATGTTAACGGTCACAAATCGATAAGGCAGAACCTTACTTTGAGCTCATGTTTTTAGTCTTTGAAATTCTGCAACCATATCAGAAGATCAACCAAGAAGTTATACAAGTATTACAAAAATCAGAAACATCCAAATAAGCAACCAATTAGAGAACATTTTGTTCTATACCGAAAAAGCGAGAACACAAACC